TTTGAGCCCTCTTTCCCCCTTTGATTCTCATTGGGATTTTCATCCGTTGGGCTCTGAGTATCGTCTCCCTAAGGAACAACCACTCATCTTGGGCACCCAATTCCCCTACTCTCCAGGACCCCAGTGCCTCTCCTACCAATCTCCTCAACTCATTGAAGTTGGCCCTCTTGAAGTCAAGGGCTACTGCCTTGCTGCAGGTCCTTGACACCCTGCGCTGCATGGTGAATTCCAGGAGGTGCTGATCACTGTCACCCAGGTGCTCAAGAACCTAGAGTCCCCTCACCAGGTCATTGCCTGTGGCCAGGACCGGGTCCAGCAGGGAATTTCCCCTGGTGGGACTGTGCACCTCCTGGTATAGGTAGAGGTCTTGTATCTCGGCAAGGAACCTTTGTAAGCAGTCAGACCTGGCTGACTGCTCCTCCCAGCAGATGTCCGGATAATTTAGATCACCCATGACAACTACATCCCTTGTCTTAAATGTCTCCACAAGCTGACCCAAGAATTCACAGTCCAGATCTTCCCTTGCTTGGGAGGTCTGTAGTAAACCCCCACCATTAGTCCCTTTCCCCACGACCCCCCTGTATTCTGAGCCAGAGCACTTCAACCTGCCCTTCCTCTGACCCCATCGTGCTAGTTGAGGATGTGTATTGCTCTTTGACATAGAGCGCCACACCCCCGCCTTTCCTCCCCGCTCTATCCTGCCTGTATAGTCTATAGCTCCTAATGTTAACTGCCCAGTCATGGGATGAATCCCACCAGGTTTCTGTGAGCCCTACTATGTCTGGGTTTGAACTAGCTATCCAGAGGGAAAGTTCTGCCTGCTTATTCCCCATACTATGAGCATTGGTGTAGAGGCATTTAAGTCCTTGAATTGGTGTGTGTGCCACCCCACGATTCCCAGGACTATCTGGACCCCTGTCACTTACCTGGGTACTCCTTGTGCACGTCACCTGTCTTGGTTGGGAGGTGTCCTCAAGTCCTCCTGTGACCCTATACCTCGGCGAAGCTAGTTTAAAGTGCACCGCATGAGTTCAGCGAACCTGGAAGAGAAGACACGCTTGCCTTTAGGGGAGAGGTGTAGCCCATCCCACCCAAGCAATCCCCCTGCGCGAAAGTATGGGTCATTATCCAGGAACCCACCTGGGAATCCAGATCTGCCTGGATTCATTCCCTATCCTCTAGCATGTTACCTTTACCCCATAATTTGTTATCATCTGTGAATTTGGACAGAGTGTTTTCCATGCCCTCATCCAAGTCACTGATGAAGACATTGAACAGCACAGGTCCAAGGACTGAGCCTTGTGGGATTCCACTGCCCACATCTCTCCAGGTCAATAGCAACCCATCCATCACCACTCTCTGGGTGAGACCCATAAGCCAATTCGCCACCCACCTGACCCTCAGCTACCAACTTCTTCAGTCTCCTTAGGGAGTGTCTAAATTATAACTTCTATCACTATTTCTTCCTTCTTAATAACTAAAAAAAAATTATCTACCTAGAAGAGGTAGAGCGGTAACTAGTACATCTCACTATAATGAGCCTTTACCACTGACTTTAGTATTCCCCTTTTTCTGCAACTCCTTTAGCGTATCTCTAGGAGTCATTCTGGAGGTTTCCTTTCCTCTCAGACTGAAAAAGTATCAGACCTGGTTTCCAACTTGTTTTTCATGGGAAGCTTTTCTCTGTGTCTTGATAGACTTGAATACTTATTCTGAAATCTGATTGCCTCTTCAAAGCAATATGTTTGAAATCAGAAGTGCCATCCTTCTTAGTGCTACATGGAACACTGCATCACTTGGCAAAATCATTCCTCTTGTCGCAGCTATAAACAGCTTTCCAACTGCAGCACAGTGGGCACTGACAGAAGCGAAGTGTAAATGTGCGATCGTCCACTGAAAATGCTCCACTTTAAAAAGTGCTGGATCATGCAACACATAAACCCTCATTACATGAGGATTCAGGTGAAGATGCTCCAAAGTGAGAGAAGCATCCCAGCCCCAGTGTTGTCTTCAGGATAGAAGTTGGGGATAGGGATGGGGAAGGGAGGGGAGGGAGCTCCATCTGGGGTTTGCACAGCCTCTCCTGGAGAAAGGGGCAGGTGGAATGGAACCCCCCTCAAGCTGGGAACTTCAATCCACACATGCCCCCTCTCCAAGGCATGCTGGGCAAACCTCATAACGGACCTCCCTCCCCTGCCATCTCCCCATCCCACCCTGAGACAGCACTGGAGGTAAGAGAGGGAGGGTGGGGCTAGGGGAGAGAGGCTGCAAAGATGCAGCCTCTGTCACTGGATTGGCTCCACAGTGGAGCTCAATACCCCACCCTCCTGACCCAGCTAGTTAGAGCAGGGAGCTGCACGTCCGTCAGTGCTCAGTGTTTGGAGCCATGTTGCCCTCCACACTTACTACATGCCTGCCTATTTAGTTTCTCTCCCTTAGCATTATCATTGCCAGCAGGAAATTCTATCCTGCAAGGTGGCTTCCTACCAACAGAAAACTCTACCCTGTGGGGTAAGTTTTTCTGGCCTAATGCATGGAAAACCTCTTTTGTGCATTCAGCTATGCAGCCTGGACCTTCACAGTTTCTGCTGCCCTGCAGATTTAGGTAATCCTTTCTAGGGACAAGTTTCCCTCATGTAATAGCTTTTCTTGTAATGCAGTGTCTGCAGTGCAACAAATAATCCTATTTCTAATCAAAGGTTCTGTCAAATTCCCAAAAGCACAAATCTTACTCAGGCTCTTTAGTTTAGTAAAATACTAATCCATACTTTCTCCTGTTGATTGTTTGCACATGAAAAATCTGTACCTTTCAAGGATCTAATTTAATGCCCCTCAAATTTTGACAGTATTACACTTAACTGCAAATGTTGGCCTTCTGCAAACATAAAGGCAGCCAGAGCTTCTTAGCCCACCATATGCAATAAGATTGCATTTCTGCCCCTACAGCTGCTAGGTAATACTAGACCTGTGTCTGAACACCTTCCAGGTCTCTGCTATATTGCCTGATTTGAGAAAGGCAGGTGCAGATTACAAAACTTCCATAACTAACTGTTCTTTTACTTAGACTATAACTGTGCAGAAAAATAGCTTACAGTCATCTTTTTCCTTTTACATGGCTGCATCACTTTACTTGCTCTTTGTTTCCAGCTTCTTCAGTTCGTGTCTTTCTTTCTCATTTGACACTGCTGAAATCATCAGTAGTGTAGCAACCATCAAGTCCAATAAAAACAGTCAGGCAGGAATGAGAAGAACTAAACAACAGCTCTTATTCTGGAGGAGTAAGCAAGACTGCAGCCCCCTTTTCTCTCCAACTGAGTATTCTCTAACTGAGGGACCATCTCCCTGTCACCAGCTCCTCAATCTCCTATGTTAGGGAGCATCTCTGAATTATAACTTTTATCAGTATAGCCTTTGACCCAAAATGGTTACAGGACAGAAAGATCATTAACTCAATTTAGAAGTTGGGAACTGTGTGCCAGAAAGAGAAGGGGCATGCCTATCCTGTGACAGCTGCATGCTCCAGCTGGAAAAGTCCCAGCATATCCTTCAGACTAGTTCCAAACTCAAAACACACAAACAAAGACTCTCTGTGCCATCTTTGTGGAGATATTGGTCTCTACACAACTGAGAGTAGCTGCTGAGGATACCTCCAGAGCAGGTTTGCTGGTATACTTCCATGTTTGCAGAATGTAACCAGAAGCAGAAAGCACTCTCACCAAGTTCAGTGAGAATTTTGCTATTGCAGTGCAGTTCATGCCTTGAGTAATGACTCACAGTTCCAAAGCAAGTCTGCAGCAAAGCAGAGACTTAAACACAGACTTCATGAGACTATATGGAGTGAATCACAGAATCATAGAAGTAGGGTTGGAAGGGACCTTGTAGATCTTCAAGTCCGACCCCCTGCCGGGCAGGAAGGAAACTGGGCTCAAGTGACCCCAACCAGGTAGGCATCAAGCCACTTCTTAAACACCCCCAGGGTAGGAGCCAGCACCACTTCCCTGGGAAGTTGGTTCCAGATCCTAGCCGCCCTAACTGTGAAGTAGTTCCTACAGATGTCTAATCTAAACCTACTCTCCAACAACTTGTGGCCATTATTCCTTGTTATCCCAGGGGGCGCTAGGGGAAAGAAGGTCCCCACCAAACCCTTCTGGTCCCCCCTAGTGAGTTTATAGACGGTCACCAGGTCCCCCCTCAGCCTTCTCTTGTGAAGGCTGAACAGGTTCAGGTCCCGTAGCCTCTCATTGTAGGGTCTGCCCTGCTGTCCCTGGATCATGCGGGTGGCCCTCCTCTGGACCCTCTCAATGTTGTCCACATCCCTCTTGAAGTGGGGTGCCCAGAACTGGACACAGTACTCCAGCTGCGGCCTGTCCAGCGTCATGTAGAGGGGGAGGATCACCTCCTTGGACCTACCTGAGATGCACCTGTGGTTGCACGATAAAGTCGGGTTAGCCCCGCCGACCGTGACCTCGCATTGTCAGCCCGTGTTCATCTTGGGGTCAGTAATGACTACAAGATCCCTTTCTGCCTCCGTGCTCTCAAGAAGGGAGTTTCCCATCTTATAAGTGTGCTGCTGGTTACTACTGCCCAAGTGCAGCACCCTGCACTTGTCAGTATTGAAACGCATCCTGTTTTTGTTAGCCCACCCTTGCAACCTATCCAGGTCTTTCTGCAGTCTTTCCCTCCCTACTAGCGTGCCCACCTCACCCCAGATTTTGGTATCATCAGCAAATTTGAACAGGTTGCTTTTCACCC